ATCTTCCGTTCTGTAGGCTCCCCCTTCTCACTCTTGTTTCCTTTGCTGTGTAGAAACTTTTAAAACTTGATGCCRTCCCATTATTAACTCCTGGTATTGCTTCCTGAACTCCGGAGTCCTATTGCGGAAGTTCTTGTCTGTGCCCCAGTGTTAGAGTATTGAGCCTGTGTTTTCAAAAGTTTTAAAAAGAAAAAAAAATCCATAATCACATCAACCAGAAAAAGCTTTAAAAAATATTTTGGTGGGTTTTGTTTGTTTTGCGGTGCTGGGGATTGAACTCGGGGCCTTGTGCAGGCTTGGCAAGCGCTCCACCTCTGAGCTACAGCCCAGTCCCTATTTTGGTATTCTTAAAAATTTGGCATCACTCCCAAAGTAGTTTAATAAAAAWTTTATTGGTTCTTTTTAGTTATACGACAGTAGACTATATTTTGACATATCCTGCATCCATGGAGTATGACTTCCTATTTTCGTGGCTGTACRTGATGTGGAGTYACACTGGTGTGTAYTCATATRTGAACCTAGGAAAGCTGTCTGATTCATTCCACTGACTTTCCTGTTACTATCCCTTCTCCCTTCCCTCCATTCTTGTTCATCTAATCCACTAAACTTCTATTCTCCCCTCCGGCACCCCACGCCCCCACATTGTGTGTTACCGTCTGCATTCAGAGAGAGCATTCGGCCTTTGGTTTTGGGGACTGGCTGATCACTTAGCATGATAGTCTCCAGTTCCATCCATTTACTAGAAAATACCATAAATTCTTTATGGCTGAGCCATATTCCATTGGGTATAGACCACAGTTTCTTTATCCATTCATCTGTTGAAGGGMTCCTAGGTTGGTTCCACAGCTTGGCTAGYGTGAATTAAGCTGCTATAAACATTGATGTGGCTGTGTCACTGTACTATGCTGATTTTAAGTCCTTTGGGTAKAAGCTGAGGAGTGGGATAACTGGGTCAAGTGGTGGTTCCATTCCAAGTTTTCTGAGGAATCTCCATACCACTTCCCAGTATGGAATTTCAGTTTTGATTTGTATTTCTCTAATTGCTGGAGATGTTGAACGTTTTTTCATGTATTTTATTTTATTTTTTTACCATTTGTAATTTTTCTGTGAAATGCCTGTTCAGTTCCTTTACCCATTTATTTATTGGGTTATTTATATGTTTATTTTAGTGTTAAGTGTTTTCAGTTCTTTGTATATCCTGGGGACTAATCTGAGGTGCAGGTGGTAAAGATTTTCTCCCATCTGTAGGCAAACTATTCATGTTCTTGTTTCTTTTGCTGTGAAGAAGCTTTTTAGTTTGATACAATCCCATTTATTGACTTTTTCGTATTTCTTTAGTTGTAGTGGACACAATACCTTTATTTTATTCATTCACATGGGGTGCTGAGAATCAAACCCAGCACCTCACACATGCTAGGTGGGCACTCTACCACTGAGCCACAACTCCAGTCCCCCACTTATTGATTCTTGGTTTTACTTCTTGCGCTTTAGGAGTCTTGTTGAGGAATTCGGTTCCTAAGCCAACATGATGGAGAGTAGGGCCCCCATTTTCTTCTCAGGATCTCTAGTCTAATGCCAAGGTCCTTGATSCACTTTGAGTTGAGTTTTGTGCAGGGTGAGATATAGGGGTTCCATTTCAATCTACTACGTATGGCTYTGCAGTTTTCCCAGCACTATTTGTTGAGGATATCTTTTCTCCAAGTGTATGTTTATGTCTCTTCTGTCTAGTATAACTGTATTTATGTGGGTTTGTCTCTTTCTTCTATTCTGTTCCACTGGTGTTCAATTCTGGTTTTGTGCCAATACCATGCTGTTTTTATCACTATAGCTCTG